ACACGTTGGTCAAAGCAAAAGGTGTAATCGCTCTCGGACAGACGTGTTCACGGAGCGCCACCATTACAAGCCCAACAACAACGTTGGTAAAAGCAGAGCGTAAATGTATTTGCACTTTCGCTACCATGCAGTAACTATATGGAGCATTCAAGGATACACCTTGAGTGTAAACAGCCACCAGCTGACTAATTCATCTAAAGACTTAGCTAAAAAAGCGAGTACCATTACTCTTGGGATTCTTATGATCTGCCAAGAAACAAAAAAAAACGCAGCCTTTATCACCCAACACTTGCTACAGAGCAAGGTAAACATAGTCATGACACGGATACAAACTATCCAACGCCACTACCAAAAGTCATGGGTAACAACATCCGAAAAAAAAAACTAACTCTGAAAGGAGAAGATCACTCATCGATCTCCTCATCATCTCCCTTCTCACTGCCTTCATCATCGTTGGCATCGCCGCTCTCGCCATCGTCGCCATCAACAGCAGCAGAGGCCTCGGGAGTCTCTAGTACCCTCCTCGCTTTGGCAACAAGATCCGCAAACACATTGCGGACATCGTAAATCGGGGCTTGTCGCTGGTACAGCTCCTCGATCTCGTCCTTCAGAACTGGAGGATCTGGCTTCTAAAGAAGCGCGATGAACTCCAGGTTCGCATCAATCTCGGCGAGGTCCAACATGTCTTCCTTGGCCTTCCCGTTAATCTCTGCAAGTAGCTTGGAGAGTTCGCCGACTCGCTCATCAAAGCCGCGAGTCATCTCCTCCTTTGCCCTAATAACAGCCTCATCCACTCTAGCATCTTGATGATCATAAGCAAAGTCCAGTTGACTCCTCAACAAAACTATCTCTTCCTTATCTCTCGTACGCCTAGACTCGACCTCCGCTAACTTGCTACCCAACTCCTCTTCGTTCTTCTTCGCAGCGGAAGCATGACTCTCGAGAACCTTGTTCCGCTGGATAAGTTTGGCCACTCTCGACTGTAAGGCGACGTTGGCCTCTCTGGCCTCGCTAAGCTCACTCTCCCTAGTGCAAGCATCCTTGTCATAATCGCCAACCAGCTGGCTCAGGTGGAGAAGGAGCTGCAT